TGAGGTGACTTTATATTTTCTTTGTTCTAACCTTTTGTAAGCCGGACGTAAGCTTTCACTGTTCTCTTTAATGTTGTCATTTTTGTTACAGCATGCTCGTTTTCTTCTAACATCGGAAAAGGTTAAAATTGTGTCGATAAAAGGAACTAAAATAAAATAAAAATATGCTGCATATACATTTGTTCTATTGACTTTAAGATCATGCGAACACATGAAACTAAACTATCACACAACTGTTTGGTCTGGCTTTGATTCCTATGAACCTATATGGAGGTACACTACTCGAGTTTATTTGTGCAACTAAACAGTTGAATTGGCTACGAAACAATGGACAATTGCACAACTGTTATGCGATAGTTTAGTCAAACCGTACGCCCGCTGTAATTAAGAAAAACAACAAGAGGAAGTATGTCTCTAATTAACTGCAGCTGGTATAGTGATGACGTCATGATATGAGATGACGTCATACGTCAACACATGAGAATAGCACATGTTCTCTTTACATTATGATATTTATGGCATTTTATAATTAAAAAATAACAATTATCATCATTATCAGCTTAGTATAACCTCACTGGAGGCTTAGAGACTACCTTAAGTTAGTGGTGAACTATAGTTCATAATAGACTGGTCCCCATCACAGATTCATTCTTGTTTTAATTTATTTATTTAATTGTTGGATTTTGTTAATTTACTAATATTACTATTCCAGGTAAGCTTAAAAAAGCACATACCAGGATATGGTACACAACACTAGTCGAATGGGATTCGAACCCTCGACCTCCAGATCGGAAGTCCATACCCCAAACCATTAGGCTATCCGCGCTTTAACATTTCCCACGTATTTCTGAATTCCTTAACTGTAACGTCAAGTACTAAATGTATAAAAGAAAAGTAAGTCAAGTGTATTGGACACTTATCCTAAAAGCAGGCGCACAGTGACTAAACTATAACACAACTGTTGTGCGATAGTCGATTGTTTCGCAGCCAATTCAACTGTTTAGTTGCACAAATAAACTCGAGTAGTGTACCCCCATATAGGTTCATATGAATCAAAGCGAGGCTAAAGAGTTGTCCAATAGTTTCAGGTGTCGCTAACGGTAAACAGATAAAGTTCATTTTGTTATAAAACCAAAAGTACCGGTTGAAATAAACGACTCTATAGAGTGGATTATGGGTTTAGAATTTTACGATTAACCGTTCGTTGGTGATTTGGTTCGCGGCAGTAAATATTCGAGGCTTTATTTCACATTAGGATTTAATGCAGCATTCGGACACTGTTGTTTTTTTATTTATTTTAATGATAGGTAATCGATAAAAGGAAACAACGGATAATTTTAAATAAGTTATCAAGAAAACTTGTTAGTAATCTTTCTAAGGAAATTGTTATTTTAAATGGATGACTGAATATTAATATAAATAAAATTCTGTAGTTAAAAGGATGTGATTACTTGTTAGTTTTTTTTAATCCCACGTCTATAAGTTGCGGACCATAGCTACATAATGTGAAGTTTCTTGACTAAAACCGTTTTAAATCCTCTCTGTTCTGATAGAGAATTAAATGAAGATTTCTTAGATAAGTTAGTTAATGTTTTGATACGACAAAACTTCACTAAATGTTTTCAAAGTTATCCTAAAACAGCCTTCAGAAGAAACGAAACTCCACAGAACTTTCGACACGATTTTAAATTAAATCAACTTAATCCGCTTATAAAGTCAAGGAAATCTTATTTTGCAAAATTAAGCTGTTTAACTTCAAGATGATTGTTTTTAAGAAATTAATATTTTGTTAAGAAAATTAGTACCGTTCAAGCTTAACGTAAGCAGATGTTAAAATAAAGATTAAAAAACTCAAAATATTTATCATATTATTCCGACTAAGTATCGACAATAGATTAATAATGGGTTAATTATTTCCTTTTCAAAAGGTATCTACTTTCCTTTTTACAATCCTTTTGTATTCATCTTTCCAAAAGGTAATCTCATTCTGCATGTCATTTGTTTATTGCGGAAAGTTGTTTGAGGTCATTTGAAGGGTAAAGCATTTTCGTTTCATCAATAATTAAACAAATGGTACCTACCTGCAACCACCTTTCGGATAAAAAAAGAATTTTCAAAATCGGTCTACTAGGGGCGGAGCTTGACATACATAAAAACATACAGACAAATTGAGTACCTCCTTCCTTTAAGAAGTAAACAATTCACCAAGTTATCATTTTCTATATTAATATGAAACGCATAATGTCATCAAATAATTCCGCTGACCAATACTTCATACTCCACGTTAATACGGAACATATTTACTGAGTAGAGTTTCATAACCTCAACATAAACGATGTTATTGCACATAAAACGTTAGAGCTCTAATCTCTACTACTTTATTGATGTAAACTAAACATATAGTGAAGTGATATTGCCTACTTGTGCCTTATATTTATTATTTTGCCCGCGACTATGCGATAATATTTCCGTGGAACAAAAAAAAGCAAGTAGCCTACGTAGTTTGCCAAATTTCATGGAGATTCATTCAACAATTTAGGCTACAAACTCTAACAGACATTTTTTCGCATTTATTATATTAGTATGAAGTATGATACTAGGATTCCATAAACCTATGTTGTATAAAAGATGAGTTTTAATGCGATTTTCCAATTCCTTCTAAACAAAATAAGACCGTTGGTTTTTCTACTAACTAAAGCCTGTCTAAAATTAAACGTCAAAATTTTAATGGAATTTGAAGTCTAAGGGTGGCCATATCATTTCTGACACTTACATATAGGTAGATTTAAAATTCGTAAGCATCCTATGCAAGTTTGAATAGTTATTGTACTTTGTCGTTTCTACAGTAGGTCTAATAGGTTTTGGAAACTGACAAACCACTCAAATGCAATTGCATTATGCGCTAATTAAATGGAAATGAAATAAAGATATTCACGTAAAAGATACTATCATATTTATATTTATATAAAAGAGGTATAATCTGAGTGACTATAAAATAACTTTATAGAAAGGACGTGAGGTATGGCCACTAATGTGCACCCCCACGCCCCCAGCGGGTGCGGACATGTCGCGAACTTTGTACAGCTAAACTTTCGAACACCTTTTAGTTTGAAAAAGCATGGACATAACGTTCAAATATTTTTAATTACATTTTAGTTATCTAAAGTATTATGATTAGGATTTTAATAAAAGTAAGTCATTGTCAGTTACGACTGAAAGCAATATTTTTTTTTTTATATGAAAAGGGGGCAAACGAGCGGCGGGAACACAAAGTTGGTCAACGGATGGACATGGATGACATGGACATCCGCAACACTAGAGGAACTTCAGATGCGTTGCCGGCCTTTGAGGAAATTGTAGGCTCGCTTCTTGAAGGACCCTAAGTCGTATTGGTTTGGAAATACCGCCGAGGACAGACCGTTCAACAACGCGGCCGTGCGGGGCAGAAAGTTCCGAGAAAACCGCACGGTTGTGGAGTGCCAGCCACATCTACATCCACAAATCTCGTTTAATTTTTCCTTTTCCGCGGTAATTGGCATTTTTAATTTATTTAGTTCATTTTAACCGATCTAAAGACAGCAACAGCAATCGACACATTTGATCTCATCTTTGGGGCAAATGAAAATGTTTACTATCCATTTTCGAATCGATCTCTTGAGATCCTTGGATCAAAGATTGATTTCTTCCATTACTACGTCAATACTTTGAATACCTAACGTCATAATTCTGAACAACCGCAAAATGTTCTTGCATTTTCTTTACTTTTATGACACAATTGTCTTGGAGCGAAGAAAATGTTCAATGCAATTACGTCACTGTGACGTCATAGTAATAACTATAAGAAAAAATACTCCGCAAGATTGCGATTTAAAAATGCACTCAAAGACGATTATTGGTTACTTAAATAATACATTTTAGAGTTATACTAAATGTACGCTAAGTGTCAGTTATTGTATATCTCAAATGCATATTTTTATGCATAACTAGCGACTTCTACCGGGTGGAATTAAAATACAGTAAAAGTATAGCCCATATCACAGATAACGTAGGTTTTTAATTTTTGAAATCGGCCGAGTTGTTTTTAAGTTATTTCAATACATACAAAAATACAAATCTTTCCTCTTTATAATAGTATAGATTTATACTTTTATATGGCCCTTTTCGCCAAATCCCATCGCGATGTCGCCTTTGTACTTTCCAACATAAAACACCCGCCATTCATAATACAATGAACCAGTTGTAAGAAACTTAAACGCGTCGACTTTGTTTTTAACGACATATTCCGCTTTGTTTTGGCACAATAGACTTTAATGTCTTCTCAAACTTTGTTACGTCGGAACGCGATGAAAAGACGAAATCAGCATATGTAGTCATTTTGCAGCGGAATTAAAAAAATCATACTAATATTATAAATGCGAAAGTTTAGATGCATAGATGGATGGATGGATGGATGTTTGTTAGAGTTTGTAGCCTAAACGGCTAAACGAATTTCGATGAAATTTGGTATAGATGTAGAAGATAGTCTGGAAGAACACATAGGCTATTCACTTTTGTTTTTTTTTTAATACCACGCGGACGGGGTCGCGAGCGAAAGCTAGTCTAGTAATAAATATAGCCTATGTTATTTAGTGATTATGTAGCTTTTTAATAGTGAATTGTTGAAATCGGTGCAGTAGTTTTTTAGTTTCTTCATCTATACTAATATTATGTAGAGGTTAGATTTTTATTTTAGTACGTATTGAAATAACTCAAAAACTATTGGGCCGATTTTAAAAATTCTTTCACCATTAAAAAGCTACATTATCAGTAACATAGACGAATCAGCAAGTAACAGCTAGTCTACACTTAATATTATAAAGGGAAAGACTTGTATTTTTGTATATATTGAAATAACTCAAAAACTATTTGGCCAATTTTGAAAATTCTTTCACCGTTAGAAAGGTAATTTATTTATGAGTAACATAGGCTATATTTCAAGCAAGTGAAGTGGCGAGCAACACCTAGTTACGTATAACCTGAAAATTTACATTACATTTTGTTAAAAGAGTAAAGAAGATTCTTTTTATAAACGGGATTTAAAACTATTTAAATATGTCAAAAGCAATAGCAATTGTAACCGGAAAATGTCTACCTTTAGGGCATGTCAAAGACAAATAGCCGAGTAAACTTCAAAGGGAGCGAAAGTTTTTCAATTTGTCATAGGAAATATATTTTCCCCTCACAATGTTACCTTTTACATGAGTACCTTGATATAGTGTTTCATGTATATATTTACTAGTTTTCGCCCGCGTCTCCGTAGGCGTAGAATAAAAAAAAAGTAGCGTATATGTTCTTCCAGACAATACTCTACATCTATGCCTTTCATCGAGTTCCGTTTAGCGTTAGACTATAAACTCTAACAAACATCCATATATCCGTCTAAAATTTCGCATTTATAACATTAGTAAGATTACCACTTTTCTATTAAAAAATTAAAATATACAGCCGAGCATATAACGAGTTAACTTGATGGTACGGCAAGACGGTCGCAAGACGCGGTCGCAGTTAGTCTGGGGAGTCATCAGCTAACTAAAACACGCTAAATTATATTTTTACACTGACCTATACGATATCCGAATTTAACACTTGACTGAATTTATCTATTATTCTGTCCTGAATATGTGATTGAAAAAAGTTTCATCTTGATGTCGCTGAACTCTTGTGAGGTCGTATTTTATGAAATACCGGACCTTATATATGTCTATAAATAGTAAATTAGTCGTAATATTTGATAGACCTCATAAAGCCTCACATCGGTAGCTGACCTCAAGAGGTCGTAAAACGTTGGCACGAATCAAGGCGCATTTATTTGGAATAAAATCTTTGTTAATATTGATTTAAGATGGTATCCATATAGCAATCTTTATAACCGAAATGTCGAAGCGTCGTCTTCTTTACCAAACAAGGCAGTAGCTAGATATTGAGGTAACAGCAATGGGTATCAGCAGGGCAAAACAAAATAATCATAATTGATTTGCCCTTGCAGCACGGGGCAAAGGATAAAAAAAAGATTCCCTGTTATATGTTACAAACTGATATGTTCGGAATTTAAGTACCTAAGGCTACAATTTTTTTTTAATATGAAAAAACTGTTTTATTTTTTTTTTTATATTTAAGGTAGGGCATTATCATATACCCGTACCTTTTTTTTTTTTTTTTTTTTTTTT